TTTTTTTTTTTTTTTTTTTTTTTTTTTTTTTTTTTTTTTTTTTTTTTTTTTTTTTTTTTTTTTTTTACATTTTGGTTAATCGCTCCTGGACATTTGGGACCGCCCACTTCCTTCTGAATAGATGTCCCACAATTAAAAACATTTTCTGAAACGGTTTTTTTCGCTCCCTATTCTCTGTACTTCATCCAGTCTTCACCAAACCTGGTACATCCCCTATTTGGAGCAACCCAGAAACAATCGTACCGCTGGTTCCGCAATATTCCTGAGCGTTCTCCTACTATTGGTAACTGAAGACCAATGGGTGGGGCCAAAAGCTTCCTAATGGTATAACTCTTCAGTGCAATGCCCAAATACAACCATCACAGTCGTAGGTGCAGGACCACGCTCCGAGCGGACTGGTAAAGTTTGGTTTGCTTTCGCCACTCGGGGGCGCTACAGTCGGCCTTTATGTTTGAAACTTTATAACTCTGCAAGAAAGCCACAAGTCTCATCCAAATTCCCAATATATGAGCTAAACTCCTATCTCTTTGCCCTTACAAGTTCATCCTCTGTCGACACTAGGGGGCGATACAGTTAACATGTCAAAATGCCACTTCCTGTTGCCATTAAAAGTTTGCTAGTGTGTATCTCAGGAATTGCCCTACTTTGGTCTAAAATAACTTTTTCATTCAACTTGTAGTTTTTGAACATCCATCAGTTCAGTTTAATAATGTGATGTTGACTGTTAGCAGCTCATGCTCCTGCCCTTTCATTATGAATTCCATCGCCGTTGTGCCACTTACAACAGTGGTTCCCCCTGTACAGAAGTCCTGCGCCGGAAACTGTTCAAAAAACATTTTGATATCGTTTATGGTTTCTTAATTGGATGCATCTTTGTTTTAAGCCCCTGTGGAGACATTTCCTGTCATGTCAGCTCATGCTGTTCTGACAGGGTAATGTCGTTGGCACACTTGTACAAATGTTATATTATCATGTTCTGCAGGCATGTCTGGTTCAAACGTTTTAAGAGTCTCAGGTCTGTGACTTTCAGAGGTAATTTAACTGCTCTGTCTTCTACCCCGCTGTCGGTCACACAGACACGCACATGATCTCACTGCATCTCTCTGTCACTTGTTCTGTTGTGGGACTTTTATGTATTGTGTGGTATGATGTCTTGATTCAGCGAAATCCAGACCATTCTCCGGGTCATTTAAGGGCGCTGTCATTGGGTCCTATTTCACTGTGGACGTGTAGCACAGGGGAAGGCGGCGGCATGGTATTAAACCTCAGGGGATTGGTATATTTCACTTGTGCTCCATCACATCCACAGTAAAAAAAAGTCACCTTGGCGTAAACAATATGGCAGCATATCCTGTTGCAAATACATATAATGGCTTCTCTTGTCATCTCCTGCAGGCCTAACCCATAACCCTAGAACTGTCAGCTGATGTCTGTGTACCTGTGTGTTTCCAGGTAAGAAGAAGCCAATGCTCAAGCTCCCTAGGGAGGTGTTTGACCAGCCTCCTCCCGCGGCAGTGTAAGGCTCTTCACTACACAATGTTTACACGCACACGTTCTCACATTGAAGCTTGTGCACCTGCACCGTGCTTCTCTGGCATTCCTCTCATGCTGTTGTGCACACCTCTGTAAACCAGTCAGAGTGCTGAACATGTGAACTGAGAAGCTGTCAGATGTTTACTGCTGGCAGCAGGAGAAGGAAGTTGTGCTCCCATTGAGCTTTCACATTCAGCTTCTCATGAGGGCTGCGTCAGCCTGTCCTGGGCAGCACAAATGTGAAATCCTTCATTTCTTCATATCACACTCCTGATATTTGCACATTTTCCTACAGAATATTTGTACATTTTGTTCTTCCTCATCTCGTCAGTCTTGTTAGTGTGAAGCTCAGAGCGCAGCTGCCCATGAAGCAGCAGAGCTGAAGGAAAAGTCAGTGCTGAGTTTGTTTTAAAGTGAATCATCATCATTAGGAAACCTGCGGGGGTGTTTTGGCTTCAGGCCAGCTTCACGTGGAATGGTGGAGTTAGACTTTCAGCCTTATTACACCTTCCGTGCTTTTATGGATTTAGTGATTGATTTTTGATTTGTTAAAGTTGGATTTGATTTATTTTATTGTTCATTGCTGTTGTTTAAATTCTTTAAAAAAAAATATTTTGTAATATATACATTTTTTTATTGTTTCATTAATTCAATTTTTTATTTATTTTAAAATGTTTTATAAATGTATTTTTAAGTTCAAAATATGTTATTCTCATTTAATATTAATATTTTTGTTAATTTATTACATTTTCTCGTTTAGGTTTTAGAATGTTTTGTCTCAATTTATTACATTTTCTCGTTTAGGTTTTAGAATGTTTTGTCTCAATTTATTACATTTTCTCGTTTAGGTTTTAGATTGTTTTGTCTCATTTGTTCATTTAAAAATTTTAATGGAATTTGTTTGAATTGATTTCATCTACCGTATTTTCTGCACCATAAGGCGCACCGGATTATAAGGCGCAGTCTCAATTACGGGGTCTATTTCTGTACTTAACCCATACATAAGGCGCACCATATTATAAGGCGCATGCTAAAACGTAACGGAAGCAAAACAGTGAGTTTAGTTGAACTTTAACACACACACACACACACAATGTAGAGTAGCAAATGTATGATTAATTGAAAGCCAATGCATTTTTCAAAGCTGCCCAAGAGGACAGTGCAGATGGCCGCACATGAAATGTAATGGTCCACTTTCCTTTCCTCACTGCTCCTTTTCCCATTTCCTGGTTTATCGCTGCCAGCGTACGTAGC